CCACCTGCCTCGGCCTCCCAAAGTGCTGGGATTACAGGCGTGAGCCACCGCGCCCGGCGCCAATTTTTTTTATTCTAGATTAGTGTTGCTGGTTCTAGACCCTCATATAAATGGAGTTATACAATAGGTGTCTTTCATGTAAGGTTTCTGTCACTCAGCATAATTATTGTCGTTGTTATTGTTGTTTTGAGATGGAGTCTGGCTGTCGCCTGGGCTGGAGTGCAGTGGCACAATCTTGGTTCACTGCAACTTCCACCTCCCAAGTTCAAGTGATTCTCCTGCCTCAGCCTCCTGAGTAGCTGGGTTTACAGGTGCGAGCCACCACTATGCCGGGCTAATTTTGTATTTTTAATAGGGACGGGGTTTCGCCATGTTGGCCAGGCTGGTCCTGAACTCCTGACCTCAAGGGGTCCGCCTGCCTCAGCCTCCCAAAGTGCTGGGATGACAGGCGTGAGCCACTGTGCCTGGCCAGCATAATGGTTTTTGAGATTCATCACGTTGCTGTATATCTGTTCATTCCTCTTTACTTCTGAGTAGTATTCTATTGTAGGAATACACCACAGCTGGCTCTTCCATTCTCCTGTTGATGGTCATTTGGATTGTTTGCAGTTTGGGGCTATTCTGAATAAAGCTGGTATAAGACATTCTTGTGCAGGTAGTTTTGGGGACACATGTTTTCACTTGGGTCACTTGGAGGGGGTACCTAGAACACAGGCAGGCCTTCTTCCTGGGGCTCATCATCTACTGTAACTTTGGTGCAAGATGCAGTGATGTGAGTATGCGCTGCGTGCCAGGTGTGGACGTGACAGTGAGGGGTGTGAGGAGGCGGGGAGTGCTTCTTCGAGGAGAGGGAGCTAGGGAAGCCTTCTTGGAGCAGGGGGCGGGTAGGGGGGGCGCTCTAGTACCGGCACAGCTTGGTTTAGTACGAGGGTCAGAGGCTCTGGTCAGATGCACCTGCGCCCACTCTCCCTCTCACACGCACAGAAAGGTCCTCGGGAATCTCACTTTTCTCAGCTGAAAAACAGGGTTAATGACACCACAGGATTTGGTGGAATAATGAGAGTAAAAACCCTCTTTCGGCCGGGCGTGGTGGCTCATTTTGGGAGGCTGAGGCGGGCGGATCACCTGAGGTGAGAAGTTCGAGACCAGCCTGGCCAACGTGGTGAAACCCCGTCTCTGCTACTAAACATACAAAATTAGCTGGGTGTGGTGGTGTACGCCTGTAATCCCAGCTACTCTGGAGGCTGAGGCAGGAGAATCACTTGAACCTGGTGGCGGAGGTTGCGGTGAGCCAAGATTGCGCCAGTGCACTCCAGCCTAGGCAACAAGAGCGAAACTGCGTCTCAAAAACAAAGACAAAGGCCTCTTTCATGAAATGCTGCTCTTTTCCCCACAGGCCTGGCCCCACTGGCCGCCTTCAATGTGGATGTGGCCCGGCCCTGGCTCACAGCCAAGGGAGGTGTCCCTTTCGTGCTCAGCTCCCTCCTGCACCAAGACCCCAGCACCAACCAGACCTGGTGAGTAGGGCCGGTGGGCAGGAGGCCTTCAGACTGAAGGGCTTCCGGGGAGCCTGAGATAGGCCCAGAGTCGGCCATGACATCCCACCCATAGGCAGGAGAGGAACTCCTTTCTCTTCCAGAAGCGCTTGCAGGTGAAAGAGAGAACGCATGAGAGAGGCGGTGGGCATCGAACCCCAGCCCCACACCTCATTGGACCTCTCCCTGCTCCACTGCTTAGGGAGAGGCTGGACTTAAAAACAATTTTTAAATAGAGCCTATTAAGGTTCTTTTATTCCTTATAGAAGTAACGCAAGTTCAATATAGAACATTTGGATACAAAACGTAACAAAGAAAAACCTGGGCAGGGCACCGTGGCTCACGCCTGTCATCCCAACGCTTTGGGAGGCTGAAGCTGGAGGATTGCCTGAGGCCAGGAGTTCAAGATCAACCTGGGCAGCATAGTGAGACCCCAACTCTAAAAAATTAAGTAAAAATTGTCTGAATGTGGTGCTGCCTGCCTGTAGTCCCACCTACTCAGGAGGCTGAGGCAGGAGGACCACTTGGGCCCAGGAGGTGGAGGCTGCAGGGAGCCATGATTGCACCACTGCACCCCAGCCTGTCTCCAAAACAAAAAACAAAGCACTCTGAAACTCTGAGGCAGAAGAGTGCGGCGTTGGGAGGCGGGCTGTGGTTCTGGCGGTCATGGTCCCCGACAGCTTCGCTGTGTATCCGCTGTGCAGCCTCAGCAGGGTGCTCGGGCCCGAGCCTCAGCATCTCTCTACAATCAGCCTGCATATTACCTGCTTCACAGAATGGTGGCAAAGACTATTTGAGGTAATGCATGCAAAGGGCTTAGCACAATTTCTGGCCACATTAATGCTCACTAAACATTACCTTATATTTTAAAAATATCATCTGTGCCCACCTACGAGATAAGCAAAACATAAAATCTGCCAACGCTGCTGGTAAGGTTGCGGTGAAATGGGAACGTGTGGAGGGCGAACTGCCATCACCACCTTGGAGAGCAGTTTTGCCGCATCTGGTCAAGCTGAGGATGCGTGTGGCCTCTGCCAATTCCACTCCCAGATCCCAAGTCGAGGGAAATTCCCAGACACATATAAAGATGTCTGTGGCAGCATGGCCCGGAATCATGAAAGACTGACAATATTCCTCTTTAGGACAACGTGAAAAATACTGATATGACTCATATAAGGCAATACTAAAAGCAGGCGCCCTGGATGAAGCCAGTGCAGTGGCTATTAACCCGGATCAGTCTGGAACATACTGTGAGCTGGAAAGCCCAAGTTGCAGAATGAAATATACAGTGGTCGGCGGGGGCAGCGGCTCACCTGTAATCCCAGCACTTTGGGAGGCCAAGGCGGGTGGATCACAGGAGGCCAGGAGTTCGAGACCAGCCTGAGTAACATAGTGAGACCCTGTCTACAAAAAATATTAAAAAAATCAGCCAGACGTGGTGGCTCTAGTCTGTAGTCCATCCCAGCTACTTGGGAGGCTGAGGTGAGAGAATCACTTGAGCCCGGGGTGGGGGTCGAGGCTGCCGTGAGCTGTGATTGTGCCACTGGACTTCAGCCTGGGTGACAGAGTGAGACCCTGTCTCAAAAAAAAAAGAAGTAAACTGTGCATTCCCTCAGATGGTGATGGTGGCTGTGTGCAGATGTAGGAGTATGTCTGTAGTTAGAAGCTCTTGGGTCAAGGGTCATGAGACCTGAGGCTCATTTTTTTTTTTTTTAGACGGAGTCTCCTTCTGCCACCAGGCTGGAGTGCAGCACTGTGATCTTGGCTCACTGCAACCTCCACCTCCCGGGTTCAAGTGATTCTCCTGCCTCAGCCTCCCAAGTAGTGGGACTACAGG